GTGCTGAATGCTTATCACACAGATACGAGGCAGGAAACATGACAAAACACTTTCCCATAATTATATCCAGCTGTAATTCATATGGGAAAATTTTAATAGAGATAGTAATTAATCTCTGGCTCTTGAGAGATCCAATTAGACAGCATTAGCAGAAACGACTGTCTAAAAATATGGGTTTCTGTCCTATCCCATTAATTGCAACTAAATAGGAAAGTTCCCAACATATAATGTCATATCCTGCACATAAAGTGACCCTCTTCCTTCTTATTCGCTAAATGAGGATGACTTGAGTCAACCTGTCAGAACTGCTTGCATCGTGCAGACAGATAAATGCAGGAAAAGTCAATTCTGTGCAGATCTGGTGAACTGACTGAGCATTCCCAGCAACTTCAGGTATTTTGGAACTGGCACAGTGCTAGCATAGGCCATGGTGGCCACAGTCCCTCTGCTCAAAACCCTATGTCTCCTGGGGCAGCGACACCCTTTTACTACAGGAATCGCATCAACCTTAATTAAATAAAGCTCAGATTCTCAAAGATCACTCATTTACTTATTGCCAGAAGTCAATGAACAGGACCAGAGTAAATTCTCCAGCATGGCACACAGGTACAATAATACAATTTTTACAACCTTTAGTTACACTAAACAACAGAGCCCCATAGGGGAAAGTGCTCCCTGCCCGGGTTACAGGCCAGTTGCTCACCCAGGCTCTAAGCAAACAGAAATGAGACAGTTCCACCCGCAGTCCAGTTTATATTTGAGCAACACTCCTCTTCACCATCGCTATCCTTCCTTCTTCCCCTTTTCACAACCACCAGGAGAACTGAATGTCTGTTGTGAGGAAAACAAGGAGGAGACAAGCTAGTCTAGCAAATAATTCAGTGGCAGCAGCTGGTGCAGCTCAAATCCACTTGCATAATTCCCCTCTGAACTTCGGTCAAAGCCGTGTTTGGAGCTCACAGGTGTAAGGGCGCTGGCAAAGGTGGCCTCACCAAACAGCAGCAGCCACAGCTCAGCTCTCTGGGAGATGTCACAGAGATGGATTGGCATCCCCGCGTGTTCTCCTTTTACATATGCACAAGAATTGCTTTTTAACCCGTCTTCTTGTAGGCACCTCTCCCCATGCTTCATTTATACACCATGGAGGCCAAAAAGACAGATACTCATCAGCAGGTCTCCTCTAGGAGCTTCAGCTAAGGAGCTTTGGTGCAAACTTGATGGCTTTTTTTGAAGGCAAGTTTCTATCTGTTTCTCTGGCTAGCTTTTCTAAAAGCTGTGTTTTGGGGAACTCATCCAGCTTCAAAGTAATCTCTCCAGGAAAAAAAAATAATAATAAAAAGGAGGTTGTGGGGTGGTTTGGTCTCTAAACCAGGTCAGATCCCATTCCAGTTCACAGTGCAGGTTTACCAAGAGCTGCAGAGCTGTCACAGGACACAGGGGTGGCATTTCACCACAGAGACACAAAGGACTGGTGGGGGCCTGGGCTATACTGTAAATTACAGCATAAGGTACCTCTTGCCTTCAGCTCCAAATGAGAAGGAAAATACATATATTAACCTCTGTGTGCGCAGACAAAAGGTTCATATGCTCTTTAGTTGCTAAAGGTACAAGGACTTGAAACCTTTAAAGCTCAGTGCTCATCTGCTCTCTGAAGCTAGGAAGCTGGCAGGCAGCACAGAAAGCTGTTTCTAAGGAAAAAGCCTCAGAATGGGGCTACAGGGACAGCAAGACCTCACTGATGACAGACAAATGTTGCTCGTTGCACAGACCATGCTCAGTCTCAGGGCCTGACAGAGCAGAATTCCCTTCCTGCAGACCGCTGCACAGGGATGAAAGAGACTGGAGCAAAAAGGAGCAGAAACACCCGTAGCTTCGGTCAGGATTCCATTACACAGCTTCAAAGAAACAAACTCATAGTGATACAAAACCCAAAATCCACAGGCTATTTTATCTTCCAAGACTCTTCAGTACCTGTTTGATTTGTCCTGAGTTTTTCCATGTCACTCAGATCTGTAATTCTCAATTTACCAAAAAACATTCTTCATCTGTCCAGCAAGAGAGGTTCCTGTTTCTAAAACTCCTGCTAAAAGCCAAAGTCCAAGGCAAGCAGATGCTGCTCTGGCACTAGCCCATGAAAATACAGCAGTGACATTTCAGCAGGAAGTATTCCCAACGTCACAGCAAATTCAGCCTGATGTTGCTGCATCTTATTTAAGTCACCCTATATTGGGTGCAAGGGCTTGTCTGGCCAACTAGTATTTGTTCTATTACAAAAATAGGGCCATAAGTGGCTTCACCTGAGGTATGTCCTTAGTTTTTGACAATTAATCCTAAATAATATTGGTGCTGTAGGGGATATAAATATCATTCCAAAGGAGAAATTGAGAAAGTTCMATGACAAGCAGGGAAGGAGATTCTTCTCCTTACAGTTTTCTTAATAGGAAGAACATGAAGAAAAGAGTTAAGGCTCTTCTACCACAAGTGGACTGAAGGTAGAACGCAAACATAACATAATTTATAGGAAGACGACCCACATCCCTTGGAAAAAGAAATGCAAGAGCCATCCATGTCCAGCCACCCCCTTCCCTTAATACTGTGAGATAATCGTTTCCTTTGCTCGCATGTTTATTTGGAATCTGATAATTCATTGCCCCTAGTTTCCTGCTGGAGTTTGTCTTCCATTGTTCGGGATTTACATTACTCAACGGGAAATCAGTGAGAGGTCCAGTGATTAGAAAGGTGTGTTCCCATTTGGGCCCACCCTTGCTCACTCGCCCAGGGCTGGAAGTGGGACCCAGYGGCAAAACTGCTTCATGGGAACGAGAGGAAGTGGGGGAACAAAGGCAGAAGGACTAATCTCATTCTATTAAAAGTTACTGATTGCTTTGTCCTGCCATATACATTGGACATGTCCACATGCCCCTCAGCTCTGCTTGTATTCAGACTTACTGTGACTGCTTTCTGCATGCACTGGGGGACTTTCTACTTTTATCACAATGCAACCATGAAAGCACACAGTATAAAAGAAAAAGCACAGTGAAAGTGTCCTTTGAATTAAAATACACTTCGTYCTTAAAGCCCATTACCCTCACTGTGATGTTCTTGCTAGAGGAGAGAGATTCTGCACAGCACAAAATGCCACTTGTGCAACAGCAATCAGCATGTTCTGTCTGCTGGGCACTAGCCTTGGATCGAGCCAGCTGTTTCTCCTGCTCTCAGCAGCAGATTTTAACTCAGCTCTCGGATACGGTGCTCCAGTGGGTTCTCTTGAACAGCACAAGGCAAAACAAAACATACTAATCTTTTACAGGGTATCACTGGAACAGGATGCCTCTTGGGCCAAATCCTCCCATTTGAAATGTCACAAATGTTCTAAAAGTTGCCCTCCCAAGTTTGGTTTGATAACAGGTACTAAACGCAGGCATATATAGTGACTGTGCAGCACCACACTAAGTGAGACTTGTGTAATGTAGCTGGTGACCTTCTTGCAGCACAGCTCCCAGTTATCCTGGATTGTTCCTAGGAGGGTATCCCCAAGGCTTTCCAGTTCACCACTCCATAAGCAAGCGCAAAGGCTATTCTTTATATTCCTCTAGGATTCAGTGTTTGTGAAAGCCCAGCTTATTTTGCAGCATATAATTAATGTCCAATAGGGAAGCCTCTGTTGTGAAAGGTTTATGCAAACACCGCATGTGTTCAAAGCAAAAATCTTGATTTTCAAAAACTGAGTAAAGTTTCAAGAACAGACCGCTGAGCAAGGTTGGACCTTGAGCAAGTGGCCCTTCCCCTACGTTCACCGGTRTATGACTAAGCAGTCCTTAAAGTCTTCCAACAGCTTTAGGCAAACTAGCCTTAGGTGCTTCAGTTCTTGCATCAGAGAGCTCATTCTAAAGTATGAACTCAATCTCCTCTACTGAAATTCAAGACACAGGTGTCTCATCCTGTCCACCTTAGACATGGGGAACAACACATTGCCTCCTCTCCACAGCAACTTCTCCAGACTAAGCCACTTCAAGGAGGGTCACGATTATAGACACTCGTTGCTTGTGTTGCTCTGAAGTCTCTACAACTCAACTGTTATTTTCCTGGAACTGGAGACAATACTAAAGCATTGAGTAAAATGGAAGTATTACAACATACCTCTTAAGTACAACAGTCCTGTTTATACATCTTGATATGCTTTCTTTCCCAGCAGTATCATGTGTTGACTCACGTTCATTTTGCAACATGAAACAATAGAGCTTCCTTTACACTAAGAAAGACAGAGGACTCTGTCTCCTGGCCTGGACAGCTACTGGGTTCTATAAATTACAGGAACCTCCTACCCAGAACCCAGTCAGAAGCAACCCCAGAGCAGCCGAGTCTCAGAGACAGACGTATTTTTGCTGTGGTAATCCAAAGTATCTGGATCTATTTGTAAAGTAGAAATGACACATACCACAGTGAATACAAGATTATTTAAACTGCCCCAGACAGAAAACCTCCTCACTTGATTTTTTTCCCTGAAATGCACCCAACACCTATAAATATTAACTTAGATAACATTTTAGTTATTTTCCCTGCCCAGACAACTGCTATGAAAATTGTGGAAAACAGTGAGTATTGCAAGYACAGGAATGAATGTGGAGGAAGAGCCTTCCGCAGTGAAATGTGCACTAAGGATATCTAAACTGCTTGATAATGAATTACACTGTCATCATTTGTTGCATTGTGCAGGTTACTTACCCAGTCTGCTTAGGATTTTGAAAAATGCTAGGAGATGGATCACTCCTTACAAAACAGGAACTTTTTTTTKGTTGATCCTACTTTACACAGTGCTTTAGGTACATAATTTGCTACCATTTTAAAGAAAACATTGCCACACAGGCCTGCCTTTCTATTCCAGCCTGACTTCCCCCTTTGAGTTTTTACACCCATCAGGAAATTCCTGGGGAGTTCAACCAGAAACTAGTTTCTGTTGCAGAGAAGTGGGAGCCCCTTAAAGATGCTGGATTCCTCACCTGGTCTAAGCGCAGAGCCCCGTCAATGAAACGTTGCTTGCGGAGGTGCTTGGCGATTCGGTGCAAACTGAGCACGGCTTGTTGGATCTCATCTATTGAATGCTGAGGGGAAACAGGAGGCAGCTCTTGAGGCGAGAAGACCTTCCCAGGGCTTTCAATCATACTCTGCGCGTGGTCGTAGCTGAGCTTCGCACAGGAGCAGATGACTGTCCGGCCAAACCACTCATCAAGGATCTGCAAAATTGGAAAATGTAAAACAGAGCTGAAGACTTATTCTTGCATTGCATAAAAGCCCAGGAAGTTCTAAAAATACTGGCATGAATGACACCCAACCTTGTGACTGACTGTGATCTACAAATGAAGATCTTCTCAGGCTGAAGCCATCAGGTTTCACCCATAAAGATGCTCCAGTTTCTAGTAATGTGCTTGTGCACAACGAAGTCTTTCCTTCATACGTGTCACTGTTTGGATCTCCCTCCTCTATCTGGCTTCCCTTCTTCTTAAGGCTAAAAAGAAGGGCAGCCCATGTGGGGACTGAAATCAGGCACCTGATACAAAAATTAGTAGAGTGCAGGTGCAGACAGACACATGCACATGCCAAAAGGAGGCTCCTGTACCCAAAATACAGCAGATAACATTTACCCTCTTCAGTTAAAGTGTGGCTAGAATGGTACATGGGGATGGCCCCCAAAATGCTCCCTCTTCAAGCAATAAGAAAGAAYAAGAAAGCTGCAGGGACCCCAATGTGTGGCTAGTGCTTGCAGAAGTGCCCAAGTAGGACTCTGGTGGATTTGGAGGAGATGGACTGGTACCTTCCCCCTTGTTTCTCTGGTAACACCTAGGTCTGSTGGTCCTAGGCCCAAATAAAACCCAGAAAATGTCCTGAAAGCTTCCAAATTTTTCTGCTCTCCAAAGGAAAATCATTTACAAATGCATATAAAATCACTTTACTTTGAAACAGTTAAATAGGAAGGTATTCATTTAAACTCTGTAACAGAACACCGATGTAGAACTGGTAACTCAGAATTATTTCTTAAGGCTGAAATGAAAATCTATTTTCAGGCAAGAGAGCCCAAAAGCTCATCATGCCAGGAGGAGAACACAGAGGGAGAAAGGGCAAAAGGCTCTGGAGAAAATCAAGAGCAGCAGCACAAGGGCTCTGGAGAGGGGAGCAGCCTGCAATAAACCATTCTAAGCACAAGTGCTTAAGGAATGACCGGGGAATTGTAATTCTGCTGTGGCTACGAGTGCCAGCCTGCCCCTCCGTCAGCACAACAGGACAGGGCAAATTGTGCAAGTGAGGGTGCTTGGGGACAGCAACCACCTCTAACACAGGCTCCTCAAGAATATYGCTTGGGAAAAGCAAAACAGCAAAGGATTGATCTCCATGATCCCTCCTCTGCATTCCACAGGATACACGTGCAGCCTAAGTCAGTGGCTCGGAGTTCAGAAAGTCACAGGGCATTTAACCTCACTTTGAATCAGGAAGTGGCCTCATAGCTGGGACGCAGCAAGTGATGTTTTGTGACGTAAAGCGCTCAGCCCTGAAGCTCATGGTTATTCTGCACGTGTCTCTATATCTAAATACATAGAGAAGGAAAGGAAGGGCAAGTCACAAAGCAGGATGCAGAGACATCACTTTGGTGATGCTGGCAGCACCTGCTCTGTGCTCTGCTGCATCCTATTACATTTAAAAGCATAGTTTATGATCTCAAGCTAAATATTTTGTGTTTTAAAAAAGAAGTCTTTTTTTGTAACATAGGTGGAACAATTCCATCAAGAGAACATCTACACTGAAAAGGGTTAAGGACTGGACGTAAACCAGGAGAGTCATTCCCAGAAGAAGCTTTTTCTCCAACACCTGGGCTAGCTCCGAAGCCAGGTCTGAGGCCATGGCGCTTCTGCCACTGACTTCCACGAGTGCTCTGTCCCTTGCAGGAGGCAATGGACCGGATTTCCACTTTGCTGTCTGAACTTGAAGWTTTCAACAAAATCTCATTTTTCTGCTTGTCTAGAAGAGGCCAAATATTTCAGAGCTCCACTCACTTCCTTGTAAGATGAGAGATGCAGCACTTTGGGCCCCAGGAATATAATTAGAACGTCAAATCTCAGGCTGGCTATGCTCAGGGCAAGGTGTCAGGACAAGCAGCCCAGTATGAGCAGATGTTAAACTTCCCTTTTTTATTTCCTCAGTGACTTTTTCTGTCCTTGGTCTTTTGAAGGCAACGAAGCAGCATGACGCAAAATGCTCAGTTTCCATTCTGGTGACACTAACAGGTATAAAAATGGACAGTGACAACCCTGTGAGAGGTCTCTTACTAATACACTTGCTAAACCACTTGTCACACCAAGGTTGCCTGGATGCATTAAACACTTCACACAGACCAAGGAATGGAGTTTTGGATGTATCTTGCCCCGTGCAGTCCAGTAATCCCTGTGTGCAGCAAACAGAGCTGCCAGATTCAGGCTTGCGAGGGCAGGCGAAGTTAACTCAACATTAGCTCCAAGTATTTCCTGGAAAAGTTCTTGGTTTCTGTCTTCAGGGACCATTCAAGCAGAATTTGGGTAACCGCAGCCTTGCGTCCCTGGATTGGAACCGGCTCCAGAGGAATGACCAAGCTCTGCCTCTGTGGGGAAAGTACCAGCAGCTGAGGAGCAGCACACGGGCCTTCAGAGCTGGTGCAGGCAGATTACACAGAGTGGTCTGCAAGGCAATCTAAGGCATTCCCAGCATTACACTAAGGTTTTCCTTCCTGGCTCTGGTTGCTTTCGAGAACACGCTGGAACCGGCTGGACAATTTTTGATGGAAAACACTGTGACTGAACTGACACCCTTCTATCAGCCAGGTCCCCAGTGCTATGGGTAATTTGAGGGTGCAATGTAGCAGTGCAGGGGGCTGCGGTCTCTCTCCATACAGGCAGTGGCTTTTTCAGATCCGGGATGATGACACCAGTTTTGAGYCTGGGAGACACATTGCCTGCACAGGGTGTTTCAGACTGAAGCAATTTCTCTCCCATGTTGCTGGAAGGAGTCAGCAGGGTTATACTTCAAACATCAGAAGACAACGACTTAAAAAAAAAAATTGCATTATCTGTTTCCAAATAACCTTATCTTGACTGCATCTCAACAAGAACATGCTCCTTTGCTCTTCTAAATATGCAGATCAGCTTCTGAGGAATAGCCCAAGTGCAACAATATGGTTAACACCTCTGCCCTTGGAAAGATATCTTGGACACAGCATATGACACCATCCCACCCGAGGGTCCCTGGAGCTGTGTGGAAAACGGCTCAGGCAACACACAGTCACACTTGGGAGAAAATGGAAGATAAAAACTCCAAAATGCAAAAACAGTAACAAGAAGAAAGTGCCTGTCTCTCAAAGGGCTGAGCCTGCCATTATTTTTCTTAAAGAAACTAAAACCGACCCCCAGAACAACTTATCGATAGTCACATTCGAGTGAGGAATCTGCATGGCTTTTCCCTGTGAGGTGCATTAGCTGGAGATTCATTTGCCTTGGAGGAGCAATAACGGGAGCAAAGAGCAGCACTCGCCTCTAGGAGTGCTATGAGGCTCTGCAAGCTCAAGGTCACGGTGCTGCTTTGCATACCAGACACGAAGTGCTCTTCGCCCTGGTGTCCCCCACGCTGGGGAATACCCTGTCCTCAGCGTTGGTGCCCTCCAGGGCCACCAGCTGAAGTTCAAAGCTGGCACTGGGCAGGTGCAGGGGCCTCTGGCTCTTGGTCCCCTTTCACCCAGCGGTGCCTGGGGAACACGCGGGCCTGTTCACACCGAGCCTAGGCTGTAGTAACACCTAGACATACAGGGGACATATATCCTGCCCCTACTCGAAGATAAGCTCTTACAGGAATGTCCCACTGGCCAAAAGCCCTCTGGGCACCTTTCCTCTTGGAAGGAGTCAATCCTCCTCCGGCCCTCAATGCACATTCAAACCGAGTGACCCTGAGGGACACTGAGGTCTTGAAGGGCCTCCCAGGAGGAACCTGTTTGCTGAGACAGCCTGTTCTGCAAGGGCAGCACGATCATGTCCCAGCCTCTCCTCCCGCACTGACCAGCTCCCTGGTCTGTCAGGGAGATGCTGCAACATCTCTGCCTTCTCTCTGGCCAGACAGGCTGGATCTGAACGCTGTTTGAAAAGCAAATAATGTATAGATTCCAAGGGATCATGCACAAGATTTAATTAAAAGTTTATTTTCRTTAAGAATTCACTGTCAACTCTTCAAAGACCATTCAGAGTCAATAAAGGCCACTGTGTGAAAGATCCCATTGGCAATCATCGCTACAGGAAGTGGAACAGTTTATACAATGAATAAATAAAACCCACTGCAGTGCCAGATCTGGGACTCCCTGGAGAAATGGCGAAGAGACACAAGGCTACAACTATATTTTCTTGAAGTGCAAAATAAGATTCAGCCTCCTTTGGAGCAGCATGGACAATTACAGAGAAAACTAAAGCTAAACTTCATGCAAAATTATCAAATCAACATAAGAAATACTCCATATTTACCTCTATATGAGCACAGCACTGGTGAAAATCATTCTAAGTACAAAATAATGTGCTTGTAATAGACATTTTCCCCAAAATTGTTGAGACATTTAGCCTCCACTCCAGCCCATCTTGATTACTGAGGGGACCCTATGGTCACCAAAGAGGAGACTGGTGGGGTTACCCAACGTGTAGGAGAAGAACAGGTAGAGAAACCAGGGCTTGAATACAGCTGGCAGGCAGATGAAGAGAACTTGCTGCACTGACACCCAGACCCCGCAACTTCTCCCTGGGAACAACCCTGCGAAGCAACTTTTTTGTAGATATGGAGGCAAAACCAGGAGAGCGCAGAGCTGTGCCTTGCCAAAGAACTACGGACTTTACATCCATCAAGGGAACTTGCAGCTCTAAAGAAGAATAAAACAGTCTATTCACCAAAGACGCAACGGAGGGATACTGCCCTCATCCACTGCCCTGCATTACTGTCTTCAAGCACAAGCAGCGTTGGGGCAGGGGAAACTGCAGCTCTACTAGCAGTGAACTGCTGCAGATGAGGCAGTACATGGATGAATAACATGGCAAGGAGCAGGCTCTCCCCCATTCCTGAGATTCATACAGATATTTTTCCTTTCCCCAGCATGTTTTGAAATTACTCCAGTTGCCAACTCCATGATAGCTCATCAGTAAAACATGATACAGGGACACTCCTACATTACCAGCGAGTTCTTTGCTATACACCTGGGTGCTATCATATTTTTACTGCTGTTTRCAAGACTACGGTCACCGAGAAGGACTGCTTAGCAGGATGGCCGGTGACCACTGCAGTTACCTTGCCTTCTGGAGTCACCTTCCATATCACTGAGAACGTCAGCCTATCTCGCATGGGATTGAGACTGCACAACTCCTCACAGAGCAGCTTGGGAAGCATCGGGATCACCTGGAAGAGAGAAGAGCCTTAGTGAGACACAGGCTTTTACTGAAGACCTGTCTGTAGCTGAACTTCCCTGGCCAGTTAGCAAAAGAGAGGTTTTGCAATTCACATAGGGAGAAAAACATGTTTAACATTCAAGCTCCTGTTCTCCAAGACAAGAGTGGCTATGCTGTGGCTTTGGGACCCATCACTCGAGTCAGAGCTACATCACACAGTGAACACCACACAAGCGTAGAATGGATAAGTAACCCAAATCCTCTGCTGTGAAAGGAAGAGAGATGCTGCTGAGACCACCAACCCTTGGAGCAGCCCAAGTTCCTAATGGGAACAGAAGGAGCTGTCATCATCTCCCTTGATGCGTGAGCACCCCTCCCATCCCTCCCTTCCAAGGTACAGGSTGGGCATCCAGCAGGTCTCAGCTACACAAACACTTTGCTCTGCAGCTTTTAAGGCAAGGAAAATTGTTTTGTGTTTTCCACTGCCTTCCCACTACCATTTTGACATTGGGAAGAACATGGAAGGCTGAGCAGATCAGGAAATGTGATGTTGAAGGAACACAGTCTCAGCAATTGGGAAGTGGTTTTGGGAACTACATTCCCTGCTTTGCTGCTGAAGATTGTGCAACCAGGTAAGGAAGGGAAATTCACTCTGCTCCCTGCTCAGCCAGTATAAAAGTTCTCCCTTGAGACATAGGAATGGGGCCCAGCTTTAATAAAGATTGAGCCACACTTTGTAGCAGAGACAGGAATGTGTAGATGTCAATGAGATAACCAAGTACCTGTTTTATGGCTATTCAAGATGGCCTTTGCAAACATAGAGAATAATAATTATCTTCCTATGCTCAGCTCTGACTGAATATCCCCATACATCTGAGCCAATAGAAGTTTTTGGCAGCTATTTTTTAACCTGTGCCACCATTCTTTAAAAGTAATTAATACCCCCTTCAGTTGCTGAACAGCGAGTTACCAAACCGCACACTGCTCACCTGAGTGCAGTGAGGGCTTGGAGCACAAGGGCTCTAGAGCAAAGGGGAGCAGCTCTAAACACTTCCACCTTCCCTATGTTATTTCCCAGATCAAGCTTGCAGTGAAGATGATCTTTAGTAGCTGTTTAGTGAAGCAAATCCAGTTATTTAAAGTTTCACATTCTTATTCCCGTTCTCATGACTAACTTTTCTCAAGACGCAGTAAATGTACTCAAAGAACTTTGCTACTTCTCCTATTACGCTCAACAGTAACATRGTGCTTTCCAGAAAAATACTGAAAAATGCTCTATTTTGTTGAACCTGCCTTCAAAATGTTTTAGCTATTTAATTACTCAGTTTCCAGTTTTGATCGTCTGGCTGTGCCATTCTGTTAAATATAAGAACAGCAGCAAGTCAACCTGCATGCAAAGCCCAGCTCGCCCGAACTCTGAGAGACTGATCTGACCATTTCAGAGATAACATTTGCTATTTGTAAGCCAGGAGAATTTTTCGAAACACCAAGAAAAATAAATACCAATCTCAGGTGTCCCTTTACTCCTCAAGTCCACACGCTTCATATTTACCTCTTGCTTTGAAGGAAAGGCTCTTAAAATATTTAATCACATTTGTGCTTTGGCACCAGACTGTGGCTATAAATCCATTCTAATTGCTGCATATTAATGCCAAAAGGTTAACTGGAGAGTCTCTGCGAGCTGCGGAGCCGCCTTCAACATGAATCAGCAGCACTGGTTCAACTGGAAGGTCACAGGGGCGCCCATTATGATAAGCTGTTTCCCCCAACACAAAGGCCGCCAACTCTGTTATTCCAGTTGTGAGAAGTACATTAACAATACTAGCGCGTTCATAATTCACAGATACAGTACGTGAGGTCTGCCATGCTGCCTGGAAAGGCCCGTGCCACAGGGTTATAAATTTATAATGACCTGTGCCAACCCACGCCAGGATGGAGAGAAAATAGCATTCAAGGAGGATGCATTATAGACTATCGGAAACTGCTGCCTGCCTAAGATCTCCCATGACCACTGCGAGACCCTGAGGTTCGGGTCATGGTGAGCTAAATGCTACTAATTTAACAAAAGCCCCAAAGAAGTTTTGCAACATTAAATTTTGGTTCTCACTCATATCACTTCATACTTACTGAATACTTCTGTGTCCTCTTTCACTCCATGTCTCCTGACGCTATAATGAACTACTAGAAAACTACTACATGAAATATGGAAGCCTATCCACAAAGAATAGTCCAGATGAAGCAACAAGATACTGGCTTTAAGTGCACTTGAGTAGAACTGATATCCAATTCAAGAGGCTATAATTCTATGGAAGAGGTCTCAGTGATGTGAAACTCAAGCAAAGCTTTAACTTGGATTATAATTACGGCACTACACTCACCAAGCAAYTAGCTGTAATGAACCTACTGTTAAACAGGGAAATATCACTCCCATGTTACCCTTGTTTTACAGGAGAAAAACTTCAGGGAAAGCAGCTTAATCCAAGCCACAGAAGAAATCTCACAGGACAGCGAGAATTCAACCAACCTTTTTCTGGGCTCAGCAAATACCTATGTACCCTAAGACAATGTGACCTTATATTGAAGGTATTTCAGTTTTATCAACCTTACTGAATTAAGAGACTTGTTTTCAACACGATGACAGTCCTGGCTAACTGCCTCCATCTGCTTTAACACCAGGACTCCTCTTCATACTCTACTTGTAGAATAAACCAGCTTTTATGAAGTATGGAGGTTTCTAGGTCATAAATGGTCTTATGGTCTGACCATTAAGATGATATGGTCACAGGCCGAACGGACTTAATAGCTGCAAGTACAGCATTTAACATACAAAGATATCACAAACATGTCAAATTTGGGAGTGGGACTTTTTAAGAGTTGTCCCAGGGGCTGCCCAGAAGGAAATACTGAAACAGGATTATTGCTATTTCTTTCCAAAGGAGAAGAGGGATGAGGGGAGGTTTCCCCAAGAACATCTCCAAGCTCACAGATTTGCAAAGTATCAGGGCTGCAAAGCATCACCTCAAACAAGCCAGAGGCCGCCTCGCATCTCTGAAGCGCTTTGCCCTTGGAGTGACTGTCTGCCAAGCGAGCGCAGCGCCTGCCAGCTGCCCCGTGACYGCCGCGGCGCGCGGAAATCCAGTTGGCTGGATCCACGCTCAAGGATACTGCCTCCAATGGGATGTGGTTTCCCTGGTAAACAGCTCAACATGTGCCCACRGTGGCGAATCACATCATTCACCTTTATTGTAGGAGGAAATAAGGTCACCTGTGCTTACATAGGGATCATAAAACTGGAAACAGAAGGCATGGAAATGTAGTTGAAACTGGAAATGCAGTGGGAGAGATCCAGCAGGGCCAGAGGGAAACAACTTTTGAAATGAAAAAGCAATGGGGAGCTTGAGTGCCCAGAGAAGTCTTCCTAACGAGCATATTATAGGAACCAGARCTGAGGAAAGGCTTGTGTGGTGAGAGCGTGGCTGGATTTCTCCCTCTCTATCAATCAGGCTGATAAAAGACATCTTCTCTGCTGGATTTAGCAGGGCCCAAGTGACAGTGGAAAGGGTGTTTCCTTTTCTTTAAGGAAACAGCTGATATCCACCGTGCTCACAGCTGCGTATCTGCATTTCCAATCAAATTCCACACAGATCATTTCCCTCTCCATATTTCCAAGCGATACGGGTGAAATCCCTTCAGGCCCAGCGCTACYGCGCGCGGCGTGGGGGGTAGCCCTGACAGACCCCCCTTCCCCGTTATCTGCTCTTGGGGCCAGCAGCCGCACGTCCCATGGCACCAAAGAGCAGGGCAGCAGGGGACCCCAAAGCAAAGGAAGGCCMGTAGGCCTGGGGGGCTGGTTCCAACCATGTTATAAATCATGTGGGCCTGTTAACACGGCTTGCCACGCTGCTCAACGGCTGGCTCTTTTGCAGGTGGATTCGCCTTGGCCAGGGGAATATCTAACTCCCCGCCGGTGTTTAACCTCTTCGGCTAATGAACTGCTTCCAGAATCCAAGTGTGAGTTTGCAGGCTAGGACTCATTCCTACAGAGCAGGGCAGTGGGAGGGAGCACACACACATGCTGGGATGACAGAACTCCCCGTTCCCTTTCAAATCAGAAACATCTGCTGTAGTCAGGAGTGACTCACTGGCCAAGTCGAGGGCAAGCTATTAGCCAGGGCAGCGCCGTACTCAATGGACTTGCTGTAGCGGCTTTTCAGCAGAAGGGGAAAAATCAGTCAACAAGACAATGGAAAGCAGGGAACAAACTTTGGTTAAGAAAACCCCCTGGCACTTTCACAAAGTCACGCAGACAGCTTTGTTCCCATCAAACAATCCCGCTCTGCTGGCTCCCGGCTCTGGCTGCCTGCGTGGTCTTGGGTCACGTTGGCTACGGCCACTGCCCACATCCAGAGCTGACCCCTTCTCCCACCACYGATCCACCACGGAGGGCCTGTCCTCAGCTCTCCAAGGGTTTCCATGGGCCGCTCTCCCCGGAGGTGGGAGGAGGACGTTGCCCTCTAACAATGGTGAGGGCTCCGCAAGCTGCTTGCTTACCCACTGAAAGACACTCAGAGGAAATAGGCAATTTGTTTGTGAGCCAAGATTTCTGCTTAAGAGTTGTATCAACACTTCCATGAATTCAGATTTTGAGCAACGCTTTGTTACTYGGTCTGAGATTATCAAAATATCAACACCCTGACAACCTGCTGGTGTCAAATGTGAATGTCTCAAAGTCYTTGGACTCAACGTGAAGATAGGCTTACAATTCCAATCTTTGATCTCCGGTATAAAATAGTACCAATAAAATATTATAGGGATTTATGGCTGACCTCTCACTTGAGCTGCTTCACACCTAAAATAACACTAGAAGATGTGCCAAAAAAGAGGAAACTGTTTAGGTTTTCTTGCTTCTTAAAACCTGATACACTCTTACTTCTAAAACTTTCAACTTTTATTAAATAGACCGCTAGCCATTACACAATAACTCCTCTTCTGGATAGTTGGTGGAGGAAAACTAAATATGTGGCTTTATTTAACTTCTCTAGGGGGATTAGCATGGTGCTAACCCCTAGCAGAATCACAGCTGTCTTAGGAAACAATTCCATCAAAGCGAAGCATATTTTCTACAAGAGTCACACTACCATCTTGTTTCAGCGAGCCTGGCTTCTTTCCTTTTCCCATCACCTCTCTCCTTTTCATCTCTTGCAATTAAAACACCGACCAACATTGTGTTTTCATTATCTAAGCTGGTTTGTGCTCTTAAAATATATAATTCGCAGGGCAAAAGGGTACGTAAAATACTGATGCTGACTGCCCTGCCAAAATAGTTGAAGAGCAATGGAAGGTTATGGGTATGAAAAGGCAACAGATACGTTATGCTGGTATCTAACATGACAACTGACTGGTAGTGCTGAGGAGAAAAAAAAAAAGGCACTTTTGAAAGAAAATTCAATTAACTTTTGATTTCAATTAATTTTTTATGAAAAGTGTCTCCTTTCCATAGAAAAAAAACTTCTTTCCCCTTCAAAAACAACCTGCATGCCTGCAAACCACAATATTTTGACATGGAAATACTGCCACCACATCTTGCAGCTTTGTTGCCTTGCAGTGACATTGCCCCCGAGCCAACCCCACCTCCTGTAGTGAGCTGCAGCCCTTGAGTCATCGATGGAAGCAGAGCACTGCAGAGCCAAGGGCTGAGCGTGAGAGAGATGTAGGATTGGGAAGCCACTGGTGCCAGAGCTGCTGTTTCCATGAGATATGCACTGCTTCCCACTCCCAGGGAACAGTAAGTCACTGGGAGCTGCTCATTTCCAACGTGGTCACTCATAAGTCCCACAGCAAAGCACCAACTGTGTTGCGGGTCCCACTGCAGCTGATGGGCACCTTGGCATTGCAGCCACGGCTATTCCACAGGTTCTGTGCACACACATACACATATAAAAGGCCACCAATACCTTGAGAGCCAGCTGTGCCCTGCTCACTTGACCCAAACAGATCCTGTGTAAAGTTATGGAACATCCACTAAAGGTTAAAAGCTTGATATCAGTCCATTAGTTTGATTTCAACAGTGCAAAGCAAACCATTTACATTCCCTGGGGCTACTGGAAAGAATGGAGAGGACGCAGGAAGCTATGGAGCATATATCATTGCAAGACCCTCCCTGGATAGCAATCATGAGAACAGTCAGGAAGGGAGGGGAAGAATCACCCCTGATCCTAAGCAGTAAGTAGGATATGTTTGTTTATTATACCAAAGATGGCCTGTCATCTGGGGAAGGGCAGTGGAAAAAAAGGTCTTCTACAGCCTGACAGAACCAGGGTGAGGGGAGAGACAGGATAAGCTGTCTCAATATTCCTCCTCATGCAGACGATGCTTCAAGCCTACACAGRAATCCGACAGGCAAATCTTCTGGCTCTCCTCAGTTCATAGTGTCTTCAACACCCAATGAGTGGGAAAGTGTTTCTGCACACTTAACTAAAAAAAAAAAAAATAGACAAAACTGGATCTTTCCTACCTTTTGCCATTTTTCTAATAATGTTAAACCTCAATATGTTTATCTTCAAAGCTGAGAAGTTGTCTTTAAACTTCCAGAACTCATTATTTATTCCTGCTATGTTCAAGTTTGTACAATTTAAGTACCTTTTATCCGTATGATGGAAGAGCATCATGTCTCCAACATTTAGAATACTCAGGCACTCTTGTCCTCCTAGTTGCAAGCAATGAGGATTATACTATACTCTGCTATGCACCTACTCCTCACAGTTGGTTTGGGGACCTGAACTAGCTCCAGGTCAGCACAGCCCTGCTCCTGGCCTAAAAAGCCTTGGGATACCCAAGGTCATGAGTTGTGAACTGCAACATGTCAGAAGTTCAGAGCTGGTGCTCACCTTCATTACGTGGGGTATGTGGCTACATCAACTTGCTCATACGTTTGCAACACTACTGGTTAGATTTTGATTGATGGCATCTGCTAACAAACCTTTGTAATGAAGTCAGGTAATTTTACTCATGTAAAAGGGAGACATTGCCCTCAGAAGAATAAAAAACTAGGCTTACCTTCTGCACTAGATAGACACTGGTTGCCCGTTCGCTGGCCATTTTGTCCAGTGCTGTTTCTTCCTTGACAAAGTAGCTCACGTCCGCGATGTGAACGCCCACCTCAAAGTTCCCTGCAATTGCACAAGGACGTCAGTAGAATGCAGATGGAAACGGAGGGGTTTAGGGGGCTCGGGAAGAAGGAAATGAGTGCATCCAGATGTCAGTTTTYAAAAAAAAAGAGAAAAACTAACAATTTTACAATCTTTGTACTTTCTCCGGGGTCACTTCTGGCAGAGCAATTACCTGTGATGTATGAGGTCTGTGAGCTATCCCGGAGCCAGGGGTAATGAGACAGCAAAGAAAAGGGAAAGAAAGTGACAACACACAATTTTCACAAGCCTTTTCCCTTTCTGGTAGGTCTTTATACGTCTGTGCAGATTCCTTTGACTTATTTATTGCATTTAGTTGTTGACGTATTGAATTCCGACACCACCACCTCCCTTCCCACTCAGCYGCCAAATGCTACCAAAACCCATTTGCTCGATGCCTAGAGCTCACAAAATCGATACCTCTGACCACCTCTTCCCATGTGAGAGGAAAACAGGGGCCCCTCAGGCTCTACCAGACTCACAGCCCCTGTGACTACAACTTAGCCAGGCAACGTGAGACACCTTCTCCTATGCATGGAGCAGAAGATCACATGTGCTTTGGGGTCTTCAAAGCTGCACTTCTTTCAGCTTGCTGCTGGTGACTTCAGAAGTCTTAAATGACTTGGGATTGAGCTGTCTGGAAGTGCAGCTTTCCACAAGCAGAATACTCCCACCATTATCCTGCTTTATCCTCAGATTAAGGAAAAGTATGCTCTAGAAGTATCCTAATTGAAAAGCTAGGCAAGAGAGAAGAATGCTACTGAGGTTTACCATGAGGTTTTGGCAATAATTTGAATTTGGAAGTAATGCTCATCCTCAGCTTTGGAAGTAATTAATACATTTATCCAAGAAATTCTGGCTTGCAATACTCAAGAACCTTGCTGACCTTGGTATGCTCTGGAAGGACTGGGCTACATTTGAAGTGCTTATTTGCAGAATATTTCTAAGTACAGTGGGTTCCTAATTAAAACATTTAGTCCTTTACAGGAATTCACCAACTTATATCTACAAGAGTCCTTCCTTTCCTCCATTTTTTTCTAATCCATTCTAACAAAATCCTCTACTGGTGGAAATCCCATTTGTTTCCACACCTTCTTTCAAAGAACAGTATTAAAGCCTTTCCCTACAGGGTCATGCTGTTGATGGATAAATCAGTAATAGCTGCAGTCATCGTGCCGTATATCAGCACAATGAGAATGGAAAGTTGTATAGGTGCAGAGGAAGCATGAGAAGGTTCAAGCCTGTGTTAGGAGAGCCACCCAGCYTGCTTTGCCACCAGCTGTGAGTTTGGCTAAACAAGCAACAACACGCCGTGTGTGATAGCCCAAATTTCTAACAATTAATCCAGCCAGATTTATTAAGCCGTGTTTGCACAGCACTTTTGGCATGTAAAGTATTATCTTTCTTTGGTGCTGCTTTCCTAGACTTCATAGAGCAGAGATGTAGAGGCAGCTGAAAAGCACCATGAAAGACAGGAGCAGCGGGGTTTAGATTTGTYCGTATTAACTCTATTCCACTGAAAGGCCCTGCAGAGAGTAAATAGCACGGCAGCAGGGGGAGAGTGTAATAATCCCATTGCACACCAAGGGACAAATTCCACCACTCATTAGAAAGCTGGGAGAAAAGGCCACGGATTAAATGGTTCGCCTCAGAAAGCTGCCTACAGCTGTGTTGTGATATTATCAGATGCCYTGAAAGCTGCTCTACATGGATTAGGCATCCAATCCTGCAACTACTTAGACAGTAAGTCTTAGACCAACAGTTCAACCAATGGGTTTAATATTACATGCACTCGAAGCCAACACACTCAGAAGGTAAAAAAAATACCGAATACTTTGAAGTCAATATTGTAATGTATTGACCTTGCAGACAAATATTGACCAAAGGAAAAGGAGAGGGGGTCATTACATCATGCCTTTAATCGTGCTTTAATTCAATATGTGCACTGCTACATACATGAACTTTTTGTCCTCGGTAGAAAATCGACAAACCAAGAAAGATCTCATTGCATGAGATAATAAAACATGGAGTCAGCCAAGGAAAACACTCTGAGCGGAATTAAATTTCACTCAGGTTTCCCACCAGAGGGTCTAACAGCCAGGGTCAGCATGAGCCCCCTGCTTTTGAACTTCTAATGGAAATTCTATCTAAATATTTTGTTACATACATTGACATAATGCAAACTGGCAGCTCTAGGGTTTGTCTTGCTCAAGTATGAATCACTATCTCCCCTGTCCCCCCAAAAACCCTGAAGATACAGCACTGATCAGCTCAACTGAATTCTCTCAAATCATCACTTTTGAACAGACTAGACAAAATACCCCGCTAATTCTGCCCAGAAATACCTGCCTATTGCTCTCTCCTGGTTTATTTGCTAATTAAAATGAAAAAGCTAYGTGGATAGAGAAATGCGAGTCACTAGGATTCTCTTTATAGGTTCCTGAATAGTTTTTCTAGTCTCATTAATTTTAAGGACAAAATCACAAAAGGAACATTTTGCGTGATAAGTCTTAGGTTATTTCCCAAAGCAAAAAGAAACGTGACCTGAAAAGAGTTAAAACAGTGCTTATTGCAAAAAAACAGAGTCTTGTTGAGGAGAGAGTCCCCTTGCTTGGGGACAAGGGTGGACGCTGCACAGACCACACACACCACAACCTGCTGCACAAGGTCCTTCACTCTGCTAGAGAAATCAATCTGCAGGCAAACTGAGCCTTCAAGTCCTGGCATGTTGCTTTCCATCCTCATAGAYTCTACATCTCCTACAGAAAAGACTGCTTTACCAACCACAGCTTTGCTTCACCCCAAATTTAACCTTCTCTTATGCACAAGGAAGCTGGAGTGGCACAGCAACCCTTAAACATATATATCAACAACAATTAAACATATATCAACTATATATCAACTAAGGATATTAAAAACGTCATCCACATAAGGTTGTATAAGGTATTAAGCAAAATGCTTTATATAGCTGCCATTTAAGCCAGAGTTGACATAAGCATCGATTACAGTGAAAAAAGCTGAGAGCACTCGGATAACTTCCTACATTCAAGACTGCTGAGATTTCTTTCATTCAAAATTATTTCTTCTGAAAGTGGGTGCAATCATCCCATCCCAGCCCTGCCACTGCAAAGCTGCTAGGTGGGAATTATTTAGCAACGGGGAACACAGTTTGGGATCAAGCAATGTGTTTCATCAGCTGGCTGTCCCCTTCCAACCTCAAGCAGTCTGTGTGTGATTGTGTTGACCTCTCCCTATTCAATATAGAGGCCAGGACGCAGGTGTCACACAGGACAGGGGAGTCCCATCAGTAATGATGCTCCAGCACTGCCCAACGCAGCAAAGAGGAGCAAAGAGACACGGGGAACCAGCTGGGCACGCGGCTAGCCGAGCTCCTCCGGGGCCAACGCTCTCCCCAAGAGCCCCAGGATTTGTGTCTACCATCCGTGGCTACACCCCCAAGCACTGGAGCGCCCACAGGGACCCTTTGTGCATCGTTCCCCACCCAGCCTGCAAYGCCAGGGCTGCAGAATAGAACAGTGGGAATGTCTGCAGAGTTTCCCAGAGCCTGGGGCTCCTCGTGGTGCTTACTGAGTATTAGAGTCACTGTGACCACCCCCGGCCCGACGCTGCGCGGGGCAGTTTGTAGAGGGTTCAGCTCCTTGATCTGAGCAKCTGGCTTGTTTGAATGCTCTCCAGAACGACACGATGTCAAAATCAAAGGCGAACGGCTCAAGTGTGTCACCTTACAGCAGAACAAAGAGGAGCCTGTTTGGGGTTTCCACTTTTTTTTTTTTGCTGGTGATCTCATCCTCTATGACAAAACGGTTCAAAGTGCTTTTTTCTCCCCCTTCCTTATAGAGAAATATTAAAAACAAAAAAGGATTAGCAAGAAAGGTCTCAAAGAGAAGGAAATGGCCCTTTCAGTCGGTAATGACACTATAAAAACTGCCCACACAGCAAGTTGCAGCAAATATTTGCCCCTGGAATCAGAAAGTTGAACTGAATATACTTGAATAGCATGCAAGAGCACGATGGCAGCAAAGCCCGCTCTGCAATTCTAATCTGCTCAGATTTAGACAGAAAGACCAAGCAAGTTCATTTCATCCTTTGGAATATGCAAATTTTAGGATCATTCAACTTAAAAAAAAAAAAAGAAAAAGAAAAAAAAGAAAAGAAAAAGTAGAGATCAAAGATAAAATAGCAGGTCATTCACTAGCACTCAGACATACTTCCCTTTATTTCCACCTCATCTTCAAGCACCACCATTCTCAAGAGAAAAGACAAACACCAGCAGAGTGTCAAGTCAACTTAAAACACAATGCCAAGTATTTTGTATTAACCAATATTTCTCAAACTGTTGGCCACCCCTCAGCTAGGGAGATACTGAAGCATTCCTGGGAGATTGCRGAGTCCTTGCTCTAGCCAAGAAACAGCCAACTGCCCAGCTGCTGCCAGCAGTTAGAGGTAGTCAGCTGTTCCCTGACCAGCCCAACTCTTGCTGCAAATAATTACAGCTCTTTCCCATTCCTCTGCCCTTGAGGCACCACACTGCTGCTTTCTTACCTGCAAAGCAGTATTTATACCAAGTTTTCCATACTTTTACAAGGAGACACCAATAAGCCTTCTGCCTACATGCACATTTGTGGGCATTGGCAGTGCCACAGTAGAGCGTGGAGCCTCCTCAAGGCTGAGGTCCCTTGTGCATGGTCCATAACAGACAAGGAGGGCAGAGGGTCTCCACCACGGAGAGCCTCCAGCTGCAAAAGGAGGGGACCACAGGCAGATAGGGCAGGACACAGAACTAGTAAAACAACACAGAAAGCTGCACAGAGGCCGAAAATGGCACGGAGACTTGGGGAAGCTGCTGGACACCGCTGCAGACCRTCACAGAGCTTTTAACAGGTGCCTTGAAATGTCTCCTGTGACCTRTCCTGAGTTCACACTAACATCTCTTTCTCTTCGGTTTGGGTACAGAGGCTAGG